TATATATATATATATATATATATATATGTTAAATTTTCTATGAATTAGATCACGGGTTTCCATTTTTTTTAGACACAAGATGATGGCTTTGATGTGGAAAGTGTGACTCCATTCATGTTAGGAGTTGACTATTTTTCCAAATTTGGTAGTAAATTATTGCTCCCAATGAATGATTGTAGTAATATTATACTAAAAAATGTTACGAGATATACAAGTGTCAAATTCATAGCCCCAACACATGATATTTATATTAAACAAATCCAAGACATAATTGAACTATGGACCGACCATTTTCTTCTAAAATCTTAGAAAGACAAAAGGGGGAAAATGTTAAACCGTGAGGAATGGTATCATCACGCAAACCCTTTCCTAGGTTTGATATTGACATTCATTTAGGGTTCTCTATCGCAGTGCTAGTTTCTGTATTCCTCCTATACACCTTTCTTCATCATTTTATTATTATGACATGACATAGGAAAACAACCTTGTTATCGTCGGTTCATATCATATAACTTATTTTATTCTTCATATCAAACAAATTTTTACCAAGTTTAAGTCCAATAACATGATATAGAATTGTAGCTGTCTAAACATTCAAGAATGGTCATGTCATTTTTATCAAAAGTCAGCAATAATAATGCCGAACTTGAGGTGTGCACTAACCATACCAGCAATAGATATGACACATTTTTATATTATGTAGCCTCTAGCTAGGTTTCATCATATTCGGAAGTATTCATTCTCCAACACAAGTTGTGTACACTTCACATATATAGTCTCTCTTACATGACACATAACTGCCCATTGTGCCAGCATTAAATTATTAGATTAGCATATAACATAACAACTTTGGTATTGCACAAAACGTTTCTCATAAATTGTATACATATACGAACATTTCATAATCTATGATACAGTCCTATAGTTTCTTTTTTCTTTCCTCGTCTCATCAATGGTCTTTCTTCACCTTGTGGAGTATTTATTACAGACCCTTTGTGCAAAAAATAAAAATAAAAAAAAATAGAGAGAAAGAGAGATCATACATTCATGTTGTTTTCAAGTCATATAGCTGTGAATCACGTTACGCGCCAAATTAATACCTATATCCAAATTTCAATATGTTTTTAAGTTTATGGATTAAACAATTCGTTTGGTTAATTGTCATTTTATGATGGGACAATTTAAATTTTTAAGATATTGTTTAATTTAGTAAGATATTGTTTAATGTTTAGAATTAAAATATTTGTAATAATTTTAAGAATTTGTTTATCTTTTTTAAGACTAGACAATAAATAAAGACTCTTTAGATAAAAAAAATTACCTGATTTATAGAAGAAGTCATCTTAAATGAGATAAAAAAACTTATAAAGGAAAGTTTATCAAATTTTACTAGTAAACTTGTGAATGAGACATCAAATTTTATCAAAAAAATTTGTGAAAGAAGCTTTGCTAAATTTCTTTTGAATACCATAGTAACAAAATAATAACCCTCAACTAAAACAAGAGATGCAAAATCACAAGTAAAAATTAGAGAAATATTTTTGAGAAATTACAATTTCTCTCTAAATACAAGGAGAAAATAATAACACTCTCTCTTATAATAATATAATACACTCACTTTGACACACTCTAACTTCTAACTGAGGAAAAACAATTTTAGGATGGTAAAAATGAAACATGGGAGGTACTTTTTACAGGGACGGATGGAACATGACTATTAATGCATGGTACCTCCCAACAAGCTACTTATAGAAATTTTACAACATATCTCTTCTTTTTGTTGTCTCAAAATGACTCTACATTTATATGACTTCATAGTTTTGCCATAAATCTTTTGTGAAAACTTTTATTTATAAAACTTGTGAAGAAATTTTTTTAAATTTCATCCATAAAATTTAAAAGAAAGATTTTCAAAAAAAAATACACACACATAGATCATACATATACAAAATTTTATATTAATCGAAAATAATTTAATACTTCATTTCTATAGAACAAAATTAACGTAATATATACATTTTAAAATATAATAAAATACAAATACTTTAATTACTTTCAAATTGTTGTTTAATTTTAACAAAATTTGATAAAAATATATAAGATATTATGAATTTATAATTTAATGGTTGAACCGATAAAGTTCATATTTAATTAAAAGTTATTAAGTTGTGTAATATATATATATATATATAATATTTTAAGTTAATGAATATCTTTATGATCGTAAGTATGAGAAATTAAATTATGTTAAATAAATTTTATATAATCTTTTTTTTAATTTTTTTTTTAATTTTTTATGATATTTTTGTGTATTCTCTCTTAAAGAAAAAAATAATTTTATTTGTTCCCAACATTTTAAAGTTATGATCAAGGAAGACCCTTGCATTATTTGGGAAGCTACGTGAAGTTGAGAACCCAATTAAGGAAGTCGAAATCTGAAGAATTCAAGCTTCACGGTGATTGAGATGCCACCCATGTCTATTATATCATTGATTTTCTTATAAATATTTTATCTTATAAAATATACTTCATCGCAGGGAGTCAAATTCAAATACTATACTATTTCTCGATGATATTAATTATTCTAAAATGTGATGACATGCCAAGGTTATTTGTTTTCCTAATTTACACAGCTTAAGCAATAGCCTTGTGCACTCACAGTTTTAAAACTCAAACTTAAAATTACATATTAAATTAAAATAACTTTTTACAAGTTGATACACGTCTTCTCGTTATGAGTTTTGTTAAATGTGAATATATACAACTTGTTACTTTGTATTAGACTTTATTTGGTAGGAGAAGAAAAATATACCATTACTTAAGCGACTAAAATGTTGAATACAAATATACAATGCACAAAATAAGGAATGGAAGAAAACAATTAGCCAGACTCCTAAAATATCATTCTTTTTTATGAATCCCTATGTATAAAACGCAAATAGATATCTTACACGATAATCATTATAAAAAAAATCTCTTCAATGAAGAAATTTTTAGAGTTTTTTAATTTCATTTTTATTTATCGACCTTTATGTAAGCGAGAATGTTAAACGTGAGAATATTTTTAAAAAAATTTCTAATAGAAAAGAGTTTTTAAGTTTTTTTTTTAACTTATTTGATTCAATTTTTATTTATCGTAATTATTTATACATTAAATATTAATATTTTAAAATAAATTATTAATAAATAAAAAATAACTTTGTACTATAATATTATTTATTTATCTTAAATCTAAAATATAAGTTATATGTTTAAAATACTTATTTATATAAACTTAAACATGATGTATATATTCAAACAATATTTATGTGAAACATAATTTATTATAAATTTTTGTTATATATAATACATATTCAATCTGTACAATACACAAACTAAAATTTAATTTGTAAAAAAAGAGAATAAGACAAAATTAAATAAGTATAAAAACCAAAATATCTTTATTTTACATTTTTTTCATTTGCATATTTGTCATTCTATTTACAGATCTCTTTTTTCTTCTATTTTTTACATAACCAAATAACTTTAAAAATTACTTCATTTTTTTTTCTTTTCTAAACCAATTTCACCTTAGTAAATTTCTTCACCCCACTTTTACCCGCCAGATGTCACACTAGCATTAACCAACTACATAAATTCACATCCGAACCTACTCGATCACTTCAAGGCTATTAAAAAAACCACTTGGCTAACCCCATTATTTACAATATATACCAAAATTATATTATACACAAAAGAAAACTAAAATTACACATACTCCTACCCTTACTGAATAAATAATATCATAAACTTAAAAGCCTTTTCTATTCTCGCCGATAAGTTATATGTTGTGCCAGAATGTACGTAGTGGGTGATTTAATGCATCAATCCAAGTTTTGATGAAGATAACAAATTGTGTTATAATCTCATTTGAAGGGAGCTAAATCCCTATGATTAACATTTGATTACTCATACCTCTTCCCCTTTCCTTGTTTTTTGAAAAAACAAAACTGTAACAATTTAAGGTAGGTTCCACACAATAGTTAATGTTGACTGAGCATCCAAAAATAGGGGGGAAAGAACACAATTGTAAATAATAATTGAACAGTTTAAGATGCTAGGCTACACACGATGCATCAAAGATCACGAGGCCCTGCAGCCATGTCTTCCCTGGGCGCCTTCAGAGCCCACAGGACCATACATGGATGGAAAACTGAGCCATAAAGATCAAAGGAAGAATCTAATTCCAATTAGATTATGTAAATGGTCATTATCGACGTCCACGTCCCCTTCTTCCATTCCCACGTTTCCCTCTCCCTCCTCCTCTCCCTTGACCACGAAACACTGGTTTGTTAGGCTTAAGCCCCAAGGATTGAACTCCCCTCTTTTTCCTGGGTTCTTCCTCGTCTTCCTTGTACTTAGCTGAGCTTCTTGTGGTGAAAGTGATTTCCCGTGATCCTCCTGGACCCTGCTTAACACCATTTGGAACATGAGAAGATTGATGGTCATCTTTGAGAGCTGCCACTCTGTCTCCTATAGGAAGTGAGTCCTCCCCTGCAAGTGATTTTTGGCTCCAGAATGCTTCTGCATGCTGCTCATTCTTAATTTCATACATTCTGCATATTATGTAAAAATGCATCAGTAATTAATAATTAAAAGATATACAACAAAATAAACAACTCCATATTTCATACACATGCGACCAATATTTTATCAAATCTCATAAAGAAAATGTCATTGATTATAGAAATTTTGATAAAATGCTCCAAATCCTAACAGAGCACCCTATTTACCATCATAAAGAGAGAAACCAAACCTTAAAAAATGGTAACAGATTCTCACCTTGGAACCCGAGCTTTCTCTTTCATTCCATTCGTAAGTTCATCCTGAGAGGATGTTGATGCATCAGAATCACCTAGACTTTGATCATCATCTGACATGATAGGTTCAAAATGTTCCTTTAACAAGGAAGTTTGCTTCTTAGAACCCATGGGATGTAAGGCCAGATATTCTTGCGAAGAATCCTTAATCTCAAAATCCTGAAACCGAATAAGTTGTATAACTGTAAGAAAGAGAATATGTTTCATTTAAAGAAAAAGCAGTCATAACAATCAAATTACATGGATCCACAAAATTTCCCGTCATTTGCATTCAAATATATATTTATGCTGGAGTAGAATTTGAAATTTGTGATCAGCAGTTTTAGTATGAATAAATTTACATTGAGCATCCACAAGAAATTTAAAATGATATGCTCAACTGTGGGCTGAAAAGATCAGTCCAACAATGATATATATCTGGATGCCAAAATTTGGATACATCATTAATCACGATACGTGTGTGCTTTAAATCCAATTAAAGCCATTGAGGATGGTGGAAAGATAACATGTTTAAATGTAGCCAGCTTCCAGCTGTGAGAAGTATCTTGAAACTTGTTGAATAATAGGACCGACAAGATAGGATAAAGCCATTAAAAAGACAAACAAATAGCAGATTTCAGATTACAGTACCTTATTTGTAAATATCGCTTTAAATCGCTCATCTTGAAGATCTTGCATGCTAAGCCCTTTCTTTTTCTTAGATGCCTTTTTAGGTTCTTCTTCCTCATCATCATCACCTCTCTTCTCATTTTCAGCTTCTTCACTTTCTAGGAGGCGAGCTGCAAGAGCCCGATTAACTTTGGGCAATTTTTTCCTGACCTGCGAGGAGAATGATTCAGGCATTGCAATGGATTAATATTCCAACCAACATCATTCGATCACCCTTACCTATGTAAAATATGAAAAGAAAACAAAAATGATTAGTGAAGGAATAGATTCTACCGTGATTCGTGAGGCGCGCTCAGCTTCCATCTTTTCTCGTTTCTGCTGTTCAATATAAGCTTCATATTCAAAAGGATCTGCCAGCGCTTTCGCCTATAAAAAAATAGATGCATCAAGATACGATAAAAACGGAATCTAGGTAACATATATATATATATATATATATATATAT